CGCTAGGGTTATAGGGAATAGATATACGTGGTTACCGAATGTTTTTCGGAGTCCCGGATGAGATCTCGGACATCACAAGGAGTTCCGGAATGGTCCGGAGGTAAAGATTTATATATGGGAAGTCCTGTTTTGGTCACCGGAAAAGTTTCGGGTGCTATCGGTAACGTACCGGGACCACTGGGAGGGTCCCGGGGGTCCACCAGGTGGGGCTACCTGCCCCAGAGGGCTGCGTGGGCCAAGTGTGAGAGGGTACCAGCCCCAGGTGGGCTGGTGCGCCCCCCCCCCACCAGGGCCCAAGGCGAAGAGAGAAGGGAAAAGGGGGAAACCCTAGGCTCAGATGGGCCTAAGGCCCACCTAGTGGTGCGCCCCCCTTTCTCCCCCCTTAGCCGCCCCCCTAGATGGGATCTAGGGCTGGCCGCCACCCCTAGGGGTGGAAACCTAGGTGGGGGCACAGCCCCTCCCTTTCCCCTATATATAGTGGGGTTTTGGGCTGCCATACACACGAGAACATCTCCTTCTTGGCGCAACCCTACCCCTCTCCCTCCTCTTCTCTTGCGGTGCTTGGCGAATCCCTGCTGGAGTACCACGCTCCTCCACCACCACCACGCCGTCGTGCTTCTGCTGGACGGAGTCTTCCCCAACCTCTCCCTCTCTCCTTGCTAGATCAAGGCATGTGAGACGTCACTGGGCTGCATGTGTGTTGAACGCGGAGGTGCCGTCCGTTCGGCACTAGGATCATCGGTGATTTGGATCACGGCGAGTACGACTCCATCAACCCCGTTCACTTGAACGCTTCCGCTTAGCGATCTACAAGGGTGTGTAGATGCACTCTCCTTCCCCTCGTTGCTAGATTACTCCATAGATTGATCTTGGTGATGCGTAGAAAATTTTGAATTTCTGCTACGATCCCCAACACAATCTTTGTATCAAAATCTCATATTGGTACTTGTGGATTGCTAGTAGTGTTGACTACATCTTGTAGTTGATACTAGTTGGTTTATTTGGTGGAAGATTAAATGTTCAGATCTTTGATGCTATTTCATACCCCTCTGATCTTGAACATGAATATGATTTGTGAATGGTTACTTTTGTCCTTAAGGACACGGGAGAAGTCTTGTCATAAGTAATCATGTGAATTTGGTATTCGTTCAGTATTTTGATGATGTGTATGTTATTGTTTCCTTTAGTGGTGTTATGTGAACGCCGACTACATGACACTTAACCATCTTTGGTCCTAAGGGAATGCATTGTGGAGTAGTAATTAGATGATGGGTTGCTAGAGTGATAGAAGCTTAAACCCTAGTTTATGCGCTATTCCGTAGGGGGCTGATTTGGATCCATATGCTTAATGCTATGGTTAGATTTATCTTAATTATTCTTTCATACTTGCGGATGCTTGCGAGAGGGGTTAATCATAAGTGGGAGGCTTGCTCAAGTAAGAACAACATCTAAGCACCGGTCCACCCACCTATCAAATTATCAAAGTAGCGAACATGAATCAAACAAACATGATGAAAATGACTAGATGAAATTTCTGTGTGTCCTCAAGAATGCTTTGCTTATTATAAGAGACCGTTCCGGCCTGTCCTTTCCTAAAAAAGGATTGGGCTACCTTGCTGCACCTTTGTTACCATTACTACTTATTGCCTGTTACAATATCAAACTATTTATTGCTGATAATTTCAGTGCTTGCAGAAAATACCTTGCTTAAAAGCGCTTGTGATTTCCTTCTGCTCCTTGTTGGGTTCGACACTCTTATTTATCGAAAGGGCTACGATTGATCCCCTATACTTGTGGGTCATCAATCACCTTCCAGTTGGGGACTCCCAACACCCTGAAGGTGGTTGTCTTTGACGAAGAGGGCGTCAAGTGGATGACCATGTGCAATAAGCACGACGAGGCCTTTACCATGGATGCCTGGGAAGTCCACTCTGTACCTAAGACTTTTTGCGTGGATTGTCTCAGCCTTTGTCGTAGCTGTTACGTGTTTAACTGTGTGTTTATAACTTGAGTTAAGGGTTTGTGGTTTGCCTATTTATCTATGTCGTGGTTGTGGGTGTGCTAACTCTGAAGGGAGGTTACCGGACAACATTTGTTGCATCTAACCGAACATGTGTTGCCTAGAACAAGCCCATAAACAAACACTATGCATGTGTTCCGTTGCAGCCAGGCTAAAGAGGATGCAGACTACCAAACTATGTGCACAACATGATTTTTACCATGTATCCACTCCATCAGGCGCAACTAGGTCACATATGCAAGACGGCAAAAAAGGTGGATGCTACCAAAACACGCCACAAGTCTTCAATATTTTTTTGTGTGCTAGAACAATGTCTGTGCGTTGCAATGAAATATAAATCTTCTACCGCGTTGGCTTGTGATTTACCTGTCTATAATAATGTGATTGTGTAAACAAATGATCATTAAATTTTGCCCATGAATTACTTTATATTTTGATCTGAAGTTTGGTAAGTAAATTAAAATAGAACTGGTTTACAAGATAAGTAAATTAAGTTGATTTATTATCATACAAGGAAGGTTGGATGAAGGGTGTTGGAAATAAGATGAAATGAAAACCTTACGTTCTTTTTAATTAAAGTAGTATATACTCCCTCCGTTCCGAAATATAAGTCTTTTTAGACATTTCAAATAGGTTACAACATACGGATATATATAGACATATTTTAAAATATAGATTCACTCATTTTGCTTTGTATATAGTCACCTATTAGAATCTTTAAAAAGACTTATATTTTGAAACGGATGGAGTAGTATATAGTAGAGATATAAGCGTGCGTGCGTGCGTGCTGTTGGCACCGTAGAAGATCCAGCAAGTTGGTGGGAGTAGAAACAGGGCACACATTCGCGCGAAACCGAACAAATCCACCTGCACCTCCCTCCAACACACAATAGAAACATATGAACCGAAAAGATGCCCTTTTTGACTTTGGCTCACTCTCCACCCACGTTGATAGCCCCCGCCTCTTTCCATGCCTTTTCCGCAACATATCCAAGCAAAATCGGACCAAGTCTTAACCGCAGCACTCCAAAAAGCCAAGCCAACCCCACCAGAAAAAATACTACTAGAGGACAGGACGAGGCACAAGATGCCACGGCCACTGGAACGAGTCATGGAGGTCGTGACCCCACGTCACATGGAGAGATGAGGAGGAAAGATGGGATCGAGTGAGTCAAAGAGGGCGCCTACTTCTTGTTTAAAAGAAAAACACGAAGTGCAACTGCTGTCAGCATTTCACCTATTGTTTTTATCGTGTAATCCAAAGTCTCCCTTCAAAGTTGTTGAAGAATTCGATGCCGGCTTATGTGAAACGACAGTCGACAGCGTCACAGACAAACAATTAGCAGGAACCTAGTGCTATTATTTATATATTTAACTAATGCTCTTCATCTCATAGTAAAAGAGTGTTTTGACACTACAACACTCACTATAAAAAGGTAGTGTTGTATATAGTCGACTGAGACTTTCGTCATGTCCCAGTTGATGCTATAGTCCTTTGATTTTATATGAAGATCCGTACAAAAAAATTTCTCTTAGTTTTTCTATATACTATATCATTTGACGAAGACTTGGTTAAGTCTTAGTCTGTAAAATTCCCGGCGTTTCTAGATGAGGTCGCAGCAGCAGCAGTGCTGCATGATCGGACGGACACTATATAGCATTAGTATTAAATTAAATGGAGGAAAGGAAATTCAACACTGGTCCTGTTTGGATCCCTAAGTTAGAGTTAGTTTTGATTAGTTGGGGCTCAAATAACCCAAAAATATCCAAACATGATGGGTTAGTTTGATCTAACCCACCCTAAAAAACTAGCCCACACTAGAGGAGCTTATTTGATTTAGTTTTCTTAGGCCCACTAAAAAAATTAGTAAAAAAAATTACCCCTCCCATCCAAACATGGTCTAAATTAGTCAAATGATTGAGAAAGAATATTTATTATCAATCTAACTCTATCATCCAAACAGCTCTTTGATTAAAGTTAGTTTAGGGTTGATTTAAGGTTAGAATCTAACTCTAACCTTTAATTAAGTTAAATTATCCAAACAGGGCCACTATCAGCACCGCGCAACAGCACTGCCCGCAAAAAGAAAAAAGCACCGCGCAACAGCTTTAAAGCTCAACGCCCGATTTTCAACGACACCGTTGGCGAACCAACCAAGACGCAATCGACCGGACGTCCACACTGGCTGGCGGGTGTGGCCGTAGCCAGCCGCACCGCACGCCAAACGAGCCCAAGCAAGCAAACAAACAATAAGGCTGGTCACAATGGGCAAGAACATAAGCTAGTAACTTCACACTTTCCTAGACTATGTTACTACCTCCATAGTGGGTAGGAACATCTATGTAGTGTCATGCAATGATGTATTTATTAGGTTATAGACTCATTGTTTCTTGGAGTGTGTGATGTTCCGGTAACTTAGCTAGTTACCACAAACACCTCTTTCTTCATTAAATACGTGCCACATAAACAAAGTTGTATTAGAGTGTGTGATGTTACTCCTAAGTTCCTCCCCACTATGACCAGCCTAATCGAGCAGAACAGAGCACCGCTGGAGCAACACGAGTCAACGACGCCAGCGGCGCCGAGAGGGACCACCTGCCGCGTTCCTTGACCGCTTCCCCCCACCCGTCCCTGTCGCGCCGGCCCCACCCGGGACCAAAAGCACTTGCCCGTTCAACCACCGCCCTCTTTTGACCCCCCAGAACCCGAGCCACGGGAGGATCAAACCCAACTCTGAAACACATCTTTCTCTTTCTCTTGTCTACCACGCACCTTTTCTTCTTCAAAGCTCAAAGCTTCCAACTACACATGTTCTTTTACAACATGCTTAGTGCGACTAAACCGATGCGGCCAAAAGAAAAAGAAATTCTAGTGCTTACTTATTAGTAGTAATATATGGTAGCTAGCAGTCACGAAGGGAACATGGTCATAAGCTAAGTTGAATTAACATGTGAGGACGACGGTAATGGCAAAGAGATTTCAGAGCTCCGGTAGCGGGGCGAGCGGCTCCTGGTCCGCGGGGGTGTGCCGGTGCTCGCCCTCGTAGGTCACGATGAGCATGGAGGGGTCGCTGGGGTCACGCTCCACGTGCTTCCGCGCCGGGCACCCGCGCACCGTGCTGCACTTGTAGTAACCTCTGCATGCATATCACCCAGCAAGTTCACTGGTGGTTAGTTCACTGCCCAAACTCCAAGATTACTATGGTCACACATGGTGGAGGGAAGGGATGCTGCCTCACCGTGGGTAGGGGGAGCCCTTGATAGGCTTCTGGCCATACTTGCGCCACGAGAAGTCGTCCGCGGGGATCTCCGCCGCCTTCGAGCTGATCGCCGGCACGCGAGTCATCCGCCGAACCCGGGATTTCCTGCCGGTTCCATCATTCATTCTTCAGCAACATGGATAACACCGGCAGACGAAGAACGGAACAACGAAATCCATCGCTGGGTGAATCGAATCTGCTAGACTACTAACCTGCGCTTGGAGCAGTGGCAGCGGCCACCGGAGGCGCCGTACTTTCCGCCGGCGACGTTCTCTGAGTGCGCGTGGTCGTGGCACTTGCGCTTCTGCCCGGCACCGGCGCCGGTGGATGCCGCGGAGGACGCCAGCGGCGGTTTCCCGCAGCTGGCCGAAGGTGGCGGCGGGAGCATCAGCGAGGACCCGCCCCCGCGTCCGTTGGACACGCTCCCGTCACCGGTCACCGACGACATGAAGGATGAGCTCGCGGCCGAGACGCTGAACCCGGCGTCGTTTCCGTACCCGGAAGACGCCTTGGTGAAGTCCAAGGTCATGGACCTCGACGAAGACGCCCTCACCGGCGCCGGCTCGGACACGGCGGGGCCCTGGGACTGCGCCACCACAGGCCCGCGCCGGAACCTGGCGTGGCCAGTGCGGTGGTTGAGGATAGAAATCACCTTCTTGAACTTGGACACGGTCATATCAGTGATCTCCCGGCAGTCTACCTGCTGCTCCGGCGCCTCCGACGACCCAACCGGCGAGCTCTCGCTGGTGCCTGTCCGGGAGAGCTGCAGGATGAGGTGCTCCATCCCGCACAGCCCCGCCGCCGCCGCCTCCTGGATGGCCACCTGCTCGTCCGCCCTCCCGTATCCTCCAATCAGATCCATGGTCATCATCGCGACCGCCCTCCCAAGATAAGATAGGTGCTCGCCGGACAACGGAAATGGGGGAGGAAGAAGAAGTGAGGGAGACGCGAGGAAGGTCGGATTATAAAAGAAGGCGAGGCGGTAACCGGGAGCAGCGGGTGGTGGTCAGATGGTGGACCAGTTCGGGTCAAAGCAGAGGCCCGATCGACGGCCGGGATCCTGTGCTTCCCGGGCAAGAGAGACGGGCTTACCGGGTGTTTGCCGGTGGGCATCTCCCGCCGTTGGATGGTACGGACGGCTGGGATGGAGAGAGGAAGTTGACTATGGAACAGCGCTACGCGTGGCGGGGGCACAATCGGGACCAGTTGGTTCCAACTGCAAGACGAGCGGCCGCCTGGCGCTACGCATACGAACGCTTCCGCCTCACGGCTCACGGACACCCGGGCCCAGGCTAGAAAACAACTTAATTTGACCCAGCTGTCAGTGCTGCTGTTACATCCTACACCTGCACTGTACATACACAACTTGCAAGAGGAGACTTTGTATGACACGATAATCTCGTGACGCTTTCGCCCCAAAAACTGAAATACTACGTGAAACAGTTATGTGAATGGTGCCAATGATGTGAGGTGCTGTGCTGGTCTCGTGACCCACCTGTCAGAGACTTTGCTTTGTTGTTTCTTCATTCACGTCTGATTTGGCATATCGTGTGGGACGGGGAGTGACGAAAAGTCAATGCTGGACTTTAATGCCTGAATGGAAATGCCGTTGGTTCGTGGATTCAATTCGAGAACGAAAGAATCATGAGCTCTGACTTTCTTTGCGCGTCCTGGCATTTCTGGTCTCCAAAGGAAATGCTTAGGCTGGTCATAGTGGGGAGTAACTTACACTAGTAACATACATACTCGGGTGCTTCCCTGCAGCGTCCTTCCCCGGGTTTGTTGCATGAGAAGACTGGGCACGACGTCTATGCTCGGGTGCTTCCCTGCAGCGTCGATAAATCCAAGCGACCGAGCTATGTCTAGCGGGCCGGTCCCGTTCACGTCACCTCCTGGGGTCCTTGGTGTTCGGCCTTCTCATGCGATAGCCTCCGGAGGTTCATTCGGCGCAGGTCGCCCCCATCACATAGGTTTTGTAAGCATGCTCCGCGCCAGAAGATTCAGGCGCAACCCGCCTTGATGTAGGGCCTCGTGAGTCCCGCGTTGGCTCACGAGTTTCCAGATACACCTCCTCCAGTTCTGCCGTGACAGTCACGCGTATGGACGAAATAGGGTTGTACACGCTCGGAGACTCTAACACAGAGCTCCCTACCCACGCCAAGTGGAAGCCCCATGCTACGCTCTGGCGAACGACACGGTCGAACAACGACTATGCCCACGCCCAAGTGGAAAAGCCCCATGCTCCGCGCTGGCAAAAGACACGGTCGACCAACGACTATGCCCACGCCCAAGTGGAAGCCCCATGCTCCGCACGGGTGGATAAACAACTGAGGGCGCCCTAGGGGCTGCACCAACCTCAGGATAGCCTCTCGGCTCTTCACGCGGCCCTATCACACAGCATTCCCCTGGGAAACACGCGTGAGGGGACTGGACACGGGGGCTACGCTCAGGCCAGGCCTAGCACACACCACCTCACGAGGTCCCTGGTACCTAGTCTTCTCGCGCCCCCCCGGGCGAAGGTTGGTGAAGAAAAGTATGAAGGGCTCCGGATTAACCTCCCCACCGCCCATGTTTCCTTCATGAGGTTGCTCGCACGTCAAGGGGGACCCCTGAGCATCATGACTCAGGGGCCTCACTAGTCACGCAGCCCCCTCGCCCCTTGGTTTCATCCTGGCATCCGGACGTCCCAACGGCGGTCGAGGTATGCACGGGGCTGGGCCCTGCCGACGAAGAGCACAAAGGCAAACAAGAAGGACACTAAGCACGAAAAGGAAATCACAGAGTCCAAACCGTTATTATAGGCACCAAATGTTCTACAAATTCAAACAAAGTCTTACGCCTCCACGGGGCATGATAAGTGTTGCATGGGTAAAATCTAGGAGGAGGGGTCATCGTCGCCATGGCCGTCGTCCCCGCTTGTCCCAGTCGCGGCGAGCTCGTCATCAACATCGCTGCCGTCGCTTGCCTCCACTGTCGGGGGCTCAACAGGGATGCAGGTGAACTTCTTCAGCAGCACGTCCACATGGCCCTCCATGGCCGCCGCAGTGGCGGACGGGACTCGGGAGCAACCGGGCCGACCACCGCATCGAAGTTGAATCTGGGATCCTGAAGGTAGAGGTGGCTGAAGACGCGCATCGCCGCCGCGGAGAAGAGGGAGCGACACTCATTTTCCAGGATGGAGTCCACCTTGGCGGCAGCACCTTCGAGCTCCTCGACAAGCCTGGAGGAGAGCCCTGTGTAACCGCCCTCGGGGGCACGAGCGGATCCTTGAAGCCTCCCTTGCGGATCGACTACAGCCCCTGGCGAGCCCTGAGCTCAAGGGAGAGGAAGGCATCGCGCTCCGGAGCCGCCTTCCTTTTGGCAGCGATGAGAGTCTTCTCCCTGGCACCCAGTTGGGCCCTCAACTTGGAGACGTGCTTGGCGTGGGATGTCTGGGCTTCGACCACCTCCTCCTTCAGCTTGGTCAGACGCTCGCGTTCCGCGGCTTGATCAACAATCACCTTGGACATCATGGAATCACGATCAGCGAGCTTCGCCTCGCGGGCCTTGAAGTCCTCCTCCCATTGTTGAAGCTGCTATGCGTGTGTGGCTTGCTCCTCCTGAATGGCCTTCGCCTCACCACAACGCTTCACGACAGACGCTGCCTCGGCCAGCGCAGCATCGCAAGTCGCCTTGGCTTCGGCGACCTCCTTCCTGCTTTCCATGGTGGCGGCTTCGGCACTGCCCCACGCCGTCATGGTGGTTGTGTCAGCCTGGAGCCACCCCGAGATAAGCCCCAAGCGCTCCCTCGCGAGGCACCTGTCTGCATCTTGGGGGTCAGCCTGGATCCGGCCGAGCACGGTGTAGGCTTCGTCCAAGGCCCCGGGCCTGATCAAGGGGCCGCATTTCGCGAGCGTGAGGGCCTGACGAGGAGGCAGTGCTAGCACGTCGGCTGGCTCTGTGGCCAAGGAAGCGGTGGCGTGGTCGGCTCGAGGCACCGGAGGCTCCAGGCTCTTCTCAGGCGTGACGAGGGCTAACGACTTCACAGCCTACTGGCCCATGGGGGCAGGCTCCTCCTGAGTGTAACATCACAAATTCTAAATTTTGGAATCTTATATTAAATAGATAGATTTGATTGACTGTTTGATTGATTGACTGAAAATGAGTGAAATTTGTAACTTTTTGAAAGTTAAATGAGAGGGAATAAAAGGACTTTCGCAAACTTTCATTTTGCATTTTGATCTCCGTGAATTCAAATTCTTTTCAAATACAAAACCCTCGAGAGAAGACGACATGACTTCTTCCATTTATTTAAATGACAAGGGTTTTTGAAAACATTTGAATTTCATTTGGAAAATATTTCCAATTCTGAAACTTTATGCAACTCAATGATTTTCATGAGAGAAGATAGAATAACTTCTTCAAATTATGAAATATGAGTTGGGAGTTTCAAAGATCACATTTAAAGTCCTTTTTGAATTTATTTTCAATTTGGAGTTATTTGAGTTTTATTCAAATTATTTTTCTCAAAAAATAAAATATATGGAAAATAGGGTAACATGATTCCCTACATCAGAAAATTGGAGATAAATAAATTTGAATTCATTCTGGTATTTCTAAAATGATTTTTATTGGATTTTATTAGACCAGTAGCACTCTTTGAATTATCTGAATTTGTGTGAATATTTTAATGCTAGGAAAATCTACATCTTGTAGAAAATCTTTTTCTGAAAATTTTGATATATAATATGCCTATATAAAGTTTTATTTTTATTTTCGTTTTTCAGTTTATCACATTCTGTTTAAAAAAAACAAAAACTACGCGCGCGTCTGAAACTAACTATCGCCCACGTGCGCATCATAGTACCAGCGGGCGCCCTATCTTTTCTTTTTCTTTATCCTATATGGGCCAGGGCCAGCCAGCCTTTTCATTTTTTTTCTTTCTTAGGCCGATTTTGTTTAAAAAAACTAGAGCCGCAGCGTGCGCGTGCGGCCGGCCGAAGGCCTTTAGGCCCATGCGAGCCACCTCTTTTCATCTATGTTTCATATATTTTCATCTATGTTTAGTCTCATATTGCCTAGCCTTTGACCTCTAAGCCTCTTTTCCACCAATAAATATAGACCCATAGAGCCTCCAAAAATCATCCGATTCAGGTTAAATCAATATTTTGGTTTGACCAGATTCATTTAAGAAAAATATATTTCTCCTCTCCGGCGCGACTTCTCGAAATTCTCTCTTCTATCCAAAGTCGTCTTTTCTCTGCCTTATAAAGGTATCTTTCTTTGTCTTTTTCTTCTTCTTATACTTCCGTTGTTTATTAATTTTAGACTAATACGATAGAATAATTAGATTAACAATTAGTCTACGTATTTATACGTTAGACCTTAACCGTAGCTATTTTTCTTTCGTAAAACAGCTTGGCCCTGATTTTTCAAATAGCCATAACTTTTCACTCGTTTATCCAAATTAGATGAAACCAGCGCCTATAGCTTCGTCTTGTTTTCACCTATCCAGTGAACCTGTCACATCAACTTTTTGAAATTTTGAAATTTCAAATTTTTGTTTAGATTTATATTCAAACTTTTTTTGATCATAACTTGAGTTTTATAACTCCGATTTAGTTGATTCTTTTTGCAAATCGAAGCTCTTGACCTAAACTTTCCGATAAGGCCAAATTCACATAATTTTAGTACTGTTAGAAATTGTTTTATGTTGCAAGAGTTATTTGCTTGGTTTTGATGTTTTCCGACCTGTCTTCTTCGTTCTTCCCGATCTTCTGAGTGATTGCTTATGTGTGGTTAATATTGCTTGCTCATGATAGATTAAACGGAGTGTGACGAGTAGAACTATCAAGAGTTATGAGTGCGAATCATCTTCATCAACATTGCAGGCAAGTTCACACTTTGATCATATCACTTTCGTACCCAGTTTTTATGCATTAGTTTCACCCTCAAACATTGCATGAGGATTGATAACATGTGGGTATTGGGAAGTAGTTGATGAGGTAGGAACCTATTGCTCTGCATTCAAACCTTGGGAGTTACTATTACGTTATGCTTATATTGCCATGCTATGCTCGTAGACGTGGATTGGGTTTGAGAGTATTTCATGACAGATGTGAGATTGTTAATTAATGGTTTACTTAAGGTGGCAACTTTAACACACATCTGGGTGGATTGAGGCACCTGGGTATTCCAGCGATTGCCTGTCTAGGCACCTGGGTATTCTAGGATTGCCTGTTTTTTATGGACCACCACCCAGGCTCAAAGGGATCATGAGATTATTCATACTAGAAACTTCCATGTGCAGCCACAAGCTATTATGGGCTCTAGCATAGTTGATTAAGTCGTGTGAACTCTTACAGTGGTAGACTAGCAGATGTAGGGGTTGTAGGTGGTACGGTCTACCCATCGTAAGGTGCAAACGCTTCTGAAAGACTATGTCTCGGTCATCCGTTTCTCAAACACCATGTAGTGCGAGAAATCCAACGGAGGAGATCGAGTCTTGTGGGGAAAAGTGCGCAAACCTCTGCAGTGTGTATAAACTAATCATGATTAGCCGTGTGCCCGGTTATGGACGTTTTGAGTATCTAGTACTTGGATTATCATGTGAATCTCATCATCTTACTTTAAATTAATTTTGTTGGGTTTAATGATGTTACTTAATTGGGATTGAGAATGCTGTCAACCATTCTCAATGTTCAACAACCACCATGATAGTTAAATAAAAAAATTTATTCCTTTGCAGTAGGGAAAAATTGGCTTTTCGCAAAAACATTATAATCATAGAGCTTTTTCACCAGCCAAATATGCATGTAGAGATAGCCATTGTTCATCATTTCTCTCTATGATGTGAATTTGCCAGTACATTCAATGTACTGACCCTTTGTGGCTGCAACGTCTCATGTTGCAGGATTATCTTATGACGAGTAAGTGATACGTTAGAGTTACGAATTCTACACTCAACTTTGCCGTTGGTGTTGATGGGAATCCACAACCTTGTTACTTCCGCTATTTGGATTGAGGTAATAGTATTTACGTTACTTTATACATGTGATTTACCTTTGTTATAAATCCTTGAGTACTGTGTGTGTCAGCATACCGATCCAGGGATGACACTTAAGCACAGAGACTTGATCCATTTGGGTCGGGTCACTACAAGATGGTATCAGAGCACATGTTGACTATAGGACGTGACCCCTAGAAACTGGCAAGCCCATAGGAACGATTTTTCTCTACAACTTTCTTTTCAAAAGGATCTTTTACCTTTCTTCTATTTTGAGCTTATTCAAATATACCCTTTTAGTGAGACCATACCCCTTTTCATTTTTTTGACCACTCGAAGATTCGGCTGATGAGACCACTCCAATAAGTACAAGATATGGGACCACTAAGACCACATCGGAATGAAGAGGATTTTACCATATATTATAATGATGGAAACTACAACGGTTGAAGACTCCGAAGACTAGGGAATCTGAAGGCCTTGTAGAATTTTCAAGATTTGTATGACCTAGGAAGGCACCCCTTATGGAACTTGGCAGACTAAGGAAGCCGTCAGTACCTGAGATCAAGGTGTATCGGAGAAAGACCGAGCATGGAGAGTTAAAAACCTCAAAGTTTTGTCAAGAAAACCCTAAGGCAGGAGATATCAACTATGGAAGATAGCTCATGGCAATGACAAGGGTAGAAACACGGTTATCCGTGATGTCATCGCCACTGATACTATGGTCACCGAGCTGAGCTAAGCATGCATTTCTTCGGAATGATTGGATGGTAGAAGGCTGATGGAGCATCTATCAGCAAAGGATGCAGTTTTAACCTTCGTTGGTGTATCACCAGGATCTGGAGAATTACATCAGGAATTTTAAGATAGACCCGCAGGAAGCTGTATTTTGACAAGGAAGCATTTCATGAAGAACTTAGGTCCAAGAAGCTGAAGTAGCCAAGCTGGAGGAGCAAAACCTCGAGATACCGGAGATTCGTCAGGAACTGACGGACAGTAGGACCGTGGTTCATGTGAAGGATGTTGAAACCAGAAGTTTGGTACGCAACTCCAGAATATTAAAGGACATCACGAGAGACTTCGCGTCAACAGAGTTGATCTGGCAAAAGAACTTGAGAAAGACAACCATGATCGGAAGAAGCCATTGGAGGCATGAACAAGGCTTGAAGAGTTTGGAGACGTTGAAGATTTATTGACCTTTAGAAGACCAAACCCCTGTTATATACCTACGTTAGATGCGATGTTTGTGAGCTGTCATTTGTTTGATGTTTTTCCTGACGGCCACAAATAAAATCTGTCTTTTCAAAACTTTTGTTTGTATTGTGTGTATCCCTCTCCCTCTCTCTTATCTTACCCCAAACCCACATGGACCCAATAGAGTATGAATGGAGATGAGCTTGTATTTTCTGGACCGATGAGTCAGTTGGAGACAGACCGATGGATTCAGAACATGGAGGATCACATGGAGAATAACCCTATAGTCGGAAAGGATATGACCCAACATGCTCTTCAGTGCTTTGAAAG